AGCACACTTCATCCCAGCACTCATAAACGGCACACTAGTGCGAATTGGGATTTTATGGTTTCATTCACTTATTTAATCATGATAGTGTTCTTCAAAATACTTTAAAAACCATACTTTCTTAGGATATCATTTCTCAACAAAGCGATTGGTACAACTCAAATTTAGTTAAATTATTTTTAAGTTATAAAAAAATTGTTATTAAAAAAAGATTGTGGGGAAAAATGCCAATATTTTGAAATTTTTGCTGGTGTGAATTCGCATCAGTGTGCCCTTTGAGGGTTAATCATTGTCAATTTCAATTTTGTATTAAAGAACCTAGGGTTGAAACGTTTACATTTATATATAATATAATATATTGTTTTAATTAAATACTATTAATTCACTGAACAACCTGTGGCGACTCTCATTGCCATTAATTTGTTATTTGGATTTATTCTTTTGGAGTCTGACTCTCTGTTAAATTTATTTTTTGTTTTCATTTCGCTAGTGTACTACCTTAATTAAAAAATGAAAAAAATAATTAACTTTAATTTCTTATAATTCTATTAAAATCAATCGCAATTAAAAAAATAGATTCTTATAAAATTTTGTTTTATCAAATGATATAATTAATACACGAGTAACATAAATAAATCAAATAGTCTTTTTACATTACATGTAGAAAGACCTTTATTTTACAATATATTCGTTAAAAATGAACGAAATTTAAATTTAAAAATAGTTTTAAAGCTTGAAATTTTTACTTTCGAAAGGTTACTATATTTTTGGAATTTCTTTGAGTTTGGTAATTTTTACATATAATATAAAAAACTATGAGTTGAAAAAGATGAAAAATTTTCTTTTCACTTTGTGGCTCTTTTACGTGCCCAAAAAAATTTGCAGAAAATTGTTTACCTATCGTGAAAGCTGGAAGCTTTCAAAATAATTTTATTAAATGTTCCTCCTATTTTTTGTTTCTGAATTATTTCCGATATTATTAAGTAAAGGACCATTCTGAGTTTGATTGCTTATAACTCCGTTAATAATCGTCATATCACAATTAAAAAAACAGAAAGCTAAAATTTTGCTCTAACTGCAATGAATAATCGCAACGAAAATTTCGCAACAAATAATGGATTAGGGAAAGAATCATTTATAATATGTAAAAGGACTTTTTCTCTAATCTATTAAATAGCCAAATACTGATCTGCTTAACGTAATAACTCGTCGATCTAATACTTTTCTGCTTGGAAATCGACGTAGATTGTCTTTAAAACATTATCACTGAAGTCAAATATACGAAAATAATAATATTCTGCTTTGAAAACAATAATATTTCGAAAATTATGTTTTGTCTTTTTTTGCGATTCTCTCTAAACAAAGCAAAAACAAACATATCTCTAAACGAAATTTTTTCTTATGTTAGTTATTTATCGAATCCCCTACATGCTCCCGTTTAATTTCGGGACACTTGTATAAATTCACACCGAATTATTTAAGCATTTAAAGTCCAGTTTTGACATCCGTTAAAGACATTTCCTACTTGTTGTGTAATCACATTTTACGTTTCTAATAAATTTTTTGTTTAATATTATTTTTTACGAACTTTTGTTCCAGCCAAAAATAACATTGATATATCAATATCACGATTCGGAGTTGAAAGTTCCGAAAATAGATATTTTATTACTATGACAGCTTCGTTATGGCGCAGGGACTCTCGGTCTATATAACATTAGCAATAATAATTTAAATTGTCAGTACATATCTCGAAACATCGATCGATGAAAGAAATACTGCTCGCTCGCGTAGAATAACGACTTAAATACAGCTGTAAATACAGTAACTATAAGTACAGATCGTTTACCGGATTTCTGTATCGCTAAGGATTTACGAAGTTTGGCACTCTCTCTGTCAAGATTTTACTTACGGTTCTGCATGAACACATGCATCCAGTGCATCTCGTATTCCTCGTATCAGCTTATCTATTTACACTCGCATCCTCAAAACGCAAAGCGTCAGGATATTTCTGGGAAAAGCTCCAAGACTTTGCGCTCTGGTCTCTTACTACACTTTATTTACATCATCCGAGGAAAGTTAGTCTTTATGGCGAATTGTTTTTATGGCAAGAAATATGTAATTGCAATGAACGTAAATGACCGCGCGCCGTCCAATAGCGTCGATGGCGGCACGTCATATCTCGACATATTGCGGACGATCGATTCTCGAGCCGTTTTCTAAGTTTTAAAAATCACTTTGAACCACATATTGCGTGCAACTTTCTAAATAGTCATTGCGAGCGACTTTTCACATCTAAAGTTTAATTAAAATAGAATTCATATAAAGCAAAAAAACAGACAATAAGTTTTTAATGAAAAGCATCTCTCGCCGTAGAGTTGCTAAAATTTATACAGTTTTGAATCGACCAGTCAATAAAAAAATCCATCTTGTTAAAGTTGGCATCGATCGTCCTCGATACGAGCGTCGTCGCTTTTCGCCGGAAGCGCGTCCATTTAGCTCCGTCGTCTCCGGTAGACAATGCCTCCATTAGTCGATTTCCGATGGACGCCTTCAATTTCTCCGTCGCTTCTTTCGAATCCGTTATAAGATAGTTTGGCCTGAGAAACGCCTCATCCTATCCTCGTCCTAATCGAAACGATATTTACGGATTTCCGCGATTGTACCCTCGGCAACGCCGCGAAACTGAGATCCTAAGGAACTATGTCGTGATTCCGGTCGAAGGAAAAGAGAAAATAAAAGAAACACTCTTGCCTCGTCCATCGACAAATAAACATGCGATATAGAGCTCTTTTCATCGATATATCTTATAAACGCTATCATCTATTTTCTGTATTCGTATACAGTTTTATGTACATCTCTTACAGAAACTCGATACTGGTCAAATTACTCTACTGAAACTAATTAAATAAAAGAAATCTTATGGTCAAAATCGATTATAACTTATAAATATTTCTATATAAATGTTTATATACGTATCTGATTTTCAATTGCGTTTCAAATCCAAACAACCTTCGGTTGACAGCAGTCGGAAATAAAGGGATTTGAACATGCAATTTGCAGAAGATATGTAGTAAGATTATATTAAGATAAATTCATACGGAAATATTTAAGCACTAAAATCCGCTTTGACCGAACATAGAATTTCTCTCATTTAATTAAATTTGTTCTTATCGATCTAAATTCGTAGTATAATTGTTAATATTGAAAATTATTTACTTTGAGTGTTAAAAGTATTGAACAATATTGCCATTAACTCCATTAATCAATTTTCAACGAATATTCGCGACATAAGTAATTAATTATACTTCCAATATTAAATTTCTGTATGGAATATGTATAAAACCATTTAATCGTGATTATAAAAGAATAGTATTGAGCAGTGAGCAATATTTGAGATCCTATTTTTGTACTTCAAAACACATGAAATGTAATAGACGTAGGTTTCAAAAATATTAATGAAAGAACTCTAGAACGATCTTTTTATTTACTCTGTCGATCTACTAGGCACAAGTTCGGAGTAAAACTTAACAAATCTTCTTCAATCACATTAAAAAGATCGTCTTTCTCTTTGGGATTTACGATTATAACTGTTGTCAAATATTCTTCATAAAAAAACGTTAACAACGGAAACGATTTATAAATATTTGTATAAAATATGTGGCGTAAAGTGTTACATAGTTACTCTCTGTGTTATAAATCCAGAGTACTGAAGTAAGAAATTTCATAATGAATTTAACTATCGGGAACTTGTAGTTACGAAGTAACTGAAAAGTAATGAATGGTTTAAATGAAAACCACAGTAGTCTTAAATGTAATAAACGTGTGCATTGAATTTCATGTAAATTCACATAAAATTTTATGGAAAATATTACATTTCATGTACACGTATACATAAATATACTTTTCAGTTACAAATATATTAAATTTAATGCAATGTAATTAAATTTAATGTAATGTCACACACATAAAGTCAAATTCAAATTATATAACTTAAAAGCAGGAAATGAAAGAACTACTTTTCCGTTATTTTTACAGTTACTTTTTATAATAACAATTTGATAATGATATTACAATTTTTATGACTGTAATGATAACGAATTCCTTTTTGCAACACGTTAATAGTAACTGTTAACTGTTTTAACTCTGGTGTTACATTATAAAAAATTATCAACATTATTACCAAATTGTTTTAATAGTAAGGTAACTAAGTAATTAAGTAACAGTAGATACAATAATTACTTCCATTCCCTGCTTAAAAGTATATTAAATTTCATGATAATTTTAACAGTACTCATATAAAATTTCATTTGATCATCACTTCTCAGAAAGCAATGATAAACCCTCCACTGAAAGATATCTACTTTCTGTCAATAAGCCGATTGCAAACGTAGTTAAAATCTGTAAGTTCCGCGAATATATGCAGAAAAGATCCCCATATGTCTGACAAAAATGATAAACTTAAAAAAGAGAGAGACGACGACGCACGCCTTGTACGATTTGAATCAAAGTGGAATATTTTTCCACTAAAAATTTTCAGTGTCGATATTCGGGATGGCAAGTTTAATAATCACGCGCGTGAACCTAGATCTTTTATTCGACCAGCAACTCAAATATTCATGATGTCGCGCTTTCAATCGCAATATAGTGAGTACTGTACCGTCGTCAATCGCTGTCACGATCTCCGAACCTTCTGATTTTCCTTTTGCAAATCGGGATTCATATCCGAAGCTTCGATCGTAATTCGATGTGAAAAACACCGCGCTATCACTATTCACTCATTGCTATTAGCCTCCTGCGCATAACATTAACACGAACGTAGACGTTTCGAAGTAAATCTTTCGATGCTCAACTCGATGACGAACTCGAACAAACCTAGCCTCGGTTAGTCGGTTATTCTCTTCCTTGGATAACTTCATTGTACGACCTTTATCTTTTTCGGTCTCGAAGTCTGTTCAGGATAGTCTACTCGATCCTGGGTCCTAATCCAGGCAGAGAACGTCTAGCTACGCTTCAGAGCCACTTGAGCATTCCTCGGCTTCCGGATCGATGTGTTCCTCTTCATCCTCGTCCTCGTGATGATAGTCGCCGGTCTCTTGCTGCCATTTGCTAACGTGATGCGTGTTTTTGTTGTTACTATTGTTGTTCGCATTTCCGTTACCACCTCCACCACCGCCTCCGCCACCACCACCTCCACCACCAGATTGCTGTTGAGCCTTCGCCTCTTCTTCCTGTTGCATTCGCTTATGTTTTGTCCGCCGATTCTGGAACCATACTTTCACCTGAAACATCAATAATTTCATAGCAATTAATTTTTCAGAAATCTAGTATGATCCTATAATTGCGTAACGCAATCACAATAACATATAAGAGATATACGTTTAAATTAAAATCCTTTCCAAAAAAAATAAATAAATAAATAATTACCTTAATCAAAAAACAGTTATACAAAATTACAAATATATGCAGTATGATTAAACATTTACAGAATAATAAAAAAATTTGGCCACAAAATTGTGTGTTCATCACATCATTAATAATATATTATTATTTATAAAAAAACAAACTCTAGAGTGTTAGTTACATTCTATTAAATGCCAAAAATAATAATTAACATTCAAAATGGGCTACTTTTAGTTTTGATACAAGTTTTAAAGTGTTTTGGGAACGGATCAAAGATGATTACGTGTTTTTCCACAGATAAATTCAAGGTAGTCAGTAAGTTCTAGTTCATCAAACTATAAAAATCTTTTGATTCGGAGTCTTTTCTTGATAAAATTTTTAATAAAACGTAACTAACATTTTCTACAATTCGTTTCTTTTACATACGTTATTACTCATCAGTTACTTATCATCGGTTTGCTATCTAGATAAAGACACAAAACTTTGTGACTAAATCTTTTTGTCATCCTGTAAAGCAAAAACATCCACTTTATATTAAATTAGATCTAACTTTATAAAATAACATAAATGATTAA